TTAAGGTGGTATCATGCTTGTATTTGTTTTCTTTTTTCTGTCTTTTGATGTTTGGTACAATACATTGTGATGAGCATTTAATCATATCATTACTTCCCGTGTAGAAATTTAATAGTTTGTGCACACACAGAGCAGATAACACAGTCTATCTGAATAAATAGTTATTACACTGTTATTCACTGCACATCATTATAACTCCAGTTTATAGTTAGTTAGTTAGTTAGTACGATTAGTACTTTATGACTCACCACACAATCTTTTCACCCTGTTTTTTTTTTTTTTTGTTTGTTTGTTTGTTTGTTTTTTGTAATGGTAAGTATGCTGGTTACCGTTCTCCCCACAGCCAGACTCTGGATAAAGACACCAGTCTAACTGATATCTTGTCTCTCTTGTTTTTCTCTTTCATGTTTTCTTTCCACTCATTGCTCTGCGCTGTTCCTGTTTCCTACCTCAATCCTGTCAAATCATGACTCACCAAATAAGGTAAGAAATATTTTTTATTCTTCTTGTACACTATTGCCATCAAAGACATACATCAGTGCAAATTCTTCTGATTAAACAAGCAGGAAAGAGTACTGATGCACTCACACAGGCACATCTTTTCAATCAGATACAAAAACAGACTTTAAACACAAAATGGAACAATAACTTATTTTGCTGCAGTGTCCAAACACCACATAAGCAGATAATCATTCTTTGTTTGTTTGTTTTTGTTTTTTTTACAAGCAACACATCTCTTTGCATACCTCACAAAACATTTACCTCCACTGATTCAATCAGGCATCCATGGATGTGGCTTTTGTGACATCTGAGCACGTGTGACGGTGTGACTGGTTTATTGCTTAAGTAGGTTATCAATAAAACATAATTTGATTGTTGACTGGGGGCAAACACTTAATTACATTAATACGCTCATAATGTAAGATCTCACTATAGATTAGTAAGCCATCAGCTCCGTTATAGATTTTAAAGGCCTCAAAGTGTTTTACATTTAAATAGGATATTTGTGTAAGCTCAGTATCTCTCACTGTAAACAAGTTCATTTGGTTTAAGGAATGTATTAGCAGGGAAGACCAGCTGCTACAGATCTCATGCCAGAATGAAGGTGCACGGCTTATGCTGTCCAGTACCAAGAACTTTAGTCACTGGATTACTCTGGACCATCAACCACTATATAAATAAGAAACCATTGCATCATAGTGATTAAATAGGATATTGCTATCCAAATGATGAAGTATAGCTCAAGCAATAGGACAATAACCTACTAATGATGGCAATGTCTGTCTTTTTAGAATGATCAATTATCACTAGCTTGTTTTCAGTATTCTATTACCAGAAATTCACTCAAACTTAGTTAAGAGATATCAAAATAAAGATCAATAAACTGTTCTGCTGATTCAGCACCTGGAGTGGGTGTATTGGATTTTATTTCATGAGGTGTCCTGTTTATATTGCATTACACAGATAGGTATGGCTTTTATCAAGCCTACCTTATCCTCCTAGGACCTGGCGTCCACATATTTGGACAACACATTTTGGGTTATTTAGACCAAAATACTCAATTTTGCTCCACAAGGGCCTGATATTTACTTACGAGGACATTATACTGCTGCTGTTCGATCGAAATTTTATACGAATATCCTCATATGTGGATCTAATTTTTCTTAGAAAGAAAAATCAGGTAAAAAAATATCTGGTAATTCTTTGTCTTTACATTCATCAGGTCCCAATCAGCCCAAATAGCGAAGAGAAATTAAAATTGCATCCCATGAAAGAGTTCGGGTCTTAGGAGGTTATAGAAGGCAAGCTTGCCCCTCTTCTGATATAGAAGAGGGTCCAATGTAACTGAAATATGCCACAGGGTCACAAACTGTTCCCGCCAAAAGGACTATAAAGTTGTCACAACACCTGCCTACAAATAATTAAAGGTGCTGCTTTATAGTAATGGTATTTACATGACTTAATGCATTAAAAAGCATTATTTTTTTCATGTGGGGTCACATGATCTATCAGAGGGGCATGAATTAATAATATTCTCACATATCTCTAAATGTCAGAACAATGCACTGATCAATACAACATGTAAAGGATTTTAGTCATGATTTCTAAATATTAATCATGTTCAAGTCTTCTTTGTTGTCAAATCTGCAGTTGATGGAATGAGTAAAAACAATTCAGCAGCAAATTTCTGCATTTATTAATAATCTAGTTAATGTAATCCTGATTAACAAAGGATGAATAAAAATCAGATGGTGTTTTAAGAGTGATTATTAAAAAATGGAAAATGGTCTCAGAAACCTGAATGTACTGGGCTTTAATGGAATGTGTCTGCAACTCTAAGTATAGAGAAGTTCTGCAATAAGTATAAAAACATACAGTATCATGTTTTGACATAAGGAGAAGTGCCTTGGAAGATTCCACAGATGTATATTATTCACATTTTGGTGATTTTTACTTTTTAAAAGTGTAAAGAAATGTTCATATATGTACATCTGAAACTACTATTGAAAATGACATATTATAGTGAACGCCAACTAAACAAAAAAACAAAACTTTGCATTAAAAACATTTAAGTTCTCAAATAAAAATAAAAACTACACTTCTGAAATAAAACAACTGAGCAGATGTCAGTGTTTTTCTTTTTGTTAAATTTTTGTTTTTTGTTGAAATTTGTCATTACAGTCCGAGATGCATGTGCTTTTTTAAGACTTTGTACATCTACATGCCAGTGAGTCAACTACCTTCAAAAAGTGTTGTATTATATTTGTAATAGTTGTTCTGAATATTATACTTCAGAAGACTAAAAGTAAGAATGAAGCTACTGAGAACTAAGCTTAAATCTTAAGCTTAAATCAGTAAACAATAAACTGAAAGGAGAAACTTTGGAAACTAACGTAAAATAAATGGAATTGAAAACTTGAACTTTATTTCATTAAGCTACAGTTAGTTAATGTAGATTCATAGTAGTAGGTATACTACTACTGTCATTAGTCTTTCACTGGTATTATTTAATGAAAACTGAGGTAATATTTCCATATTTATATAGTGACTATATAGGAGAGTATCCAGCTTTCCATCCTGTGTGTGATGTAGAAACTGATCCATTGATCAGCATTAGCTGTGTACTGTGTGCTGGACAGTGAACACATGGAATATGGGGTTTTTTAAGAGTGATTTCATTTGCAGAACTTTGCTTCCAGTTGTGTAAATCACAATTTCACTTTTAATAAATGTCCTTGCAGATTTGATTCAATAACTTGAATTTACTAGCAGCTAAATACCAACCACAATAATTTAACTTTTGTTGAACAAGAACTGGTTTCAGAATTTTTAAGTTATCTTATGTCTCAGAGCCTTGGTTTTGCCCCATGACTAAATACCATAATATTAATATAACATTTAATACTTTATGTGTCCAGATATTTTTTAAATAAACATCTAACCATACATTTTAAGCTTTTTATTTTACTGTTCTTTCACCTTTTATGTTTATGTTTACATTTATTTATTTATATAGGACATTTTATTACAACAGTAGTGTTAGCCAAAGTGCTGTACAAAGATACAAATTACAGGTTAAAATGACTTAAAATATTGATACTAAGTGACAAGTATCAGATAACATCAATGCCAAATAACAGTTAGCCAAAAAACACACACACATGTAGATAATGTGTGCTGTAAACACACATTATCTACATCTGTGTTTACAGCAGTAAAATTTCATGGGTTGTGCTTGTGACGCAGTCTAGTCCTGTGTATTTTTGTGTACAGCTGAAAAAAATATCGAGTAGGCTGAGGTTTTATTTTCCAGGCCCGTCTTCATTGGGAGCCTTGTAAGCTGGCTGTCTCTTCAGCAGCATGCAGCAGCAGCAGTTGGCCGCCTGTGTGGCGCTGTCCACACTGGTGGTGCTGAAAATAGCTCCAAAGAGCTCCCCCTCCTCCTTCTCTCTCACACTGACTCTCTACATCTCCCTCTGTCGCCCACTTCTTATTAGAGAACACGACTACTTCCAATACTACAGCTTTACTCTTTCTTGTTTTTCGTATCGTACTGTAGGTATTTTTAATTGATGTGTTTGCAGTTTTTGTTAAGTTTTGTACAATATTTAATATTGAGGGTTGTATTTTAAGCGCATAATGGCTATTTTCAGTAAAGGGATGGCGCACATAGATAGGGATGTCTATAAAAATCTCTAAAATTATTTGTGAATAGTTTTAAGTGTAGTATGAGTGTGTCATGATGCTCGCTCTCTATTAGTGTGTGTGAGAGAGAGAGGATCAGGCTGTGTTCATGTGGTGAGACAGAGAGAGAGAGAGAGCGGCTTCCCACGTCATCAACGCTCTCCTCCCCTCGCACTTGCTCTACCGACCTCCATACGGGTATTTTACGTTGGCTGCCGTCAGAATTATTTCTCTGAGGCGTGAGTTACTGTCTGCAGGCTGCACTAGCTTGCTCTGGCCACAGGAAGGCAACGAAGAGCCTTGTCTGCCACAAAAGCTAGTGCATGCAGGCAGGTACATACAGGCAAGATGATTAACAAGAGTAAGATACATGTATCAATGGATTAATGCAAATCATTATATTAATAATTTTGAAGTGATCACTCACTGAGTAGCTCCGATGACGCTATACATATTCATCTATCAGCTATTAATAATAGCATAAAAAGATAGAAATATAATCACTGGATTATGTAGAATTATATTTATAGCCCCCAAAAAACATTGTAAAGATGACTGCAGATGCTGGATATACGGTTTCATTCATAGTAACTAACGATGTTTGATAATGTGTTTAATAATGGGAAATTCGATTATTTTTTTGTGGCTCTTGCTTTTGCGTCACTCCTTTGAAGATGTTCAGTGATGCCATGATTGGTGGAAATAGCTGTACTGCTCCCACCAATGAAATCCCGAGCTGTACAAAGAGATCTACTCCGTCTCACCGAGTAGCATCACCCTCTTAACCGTTACAATGTTCTGCACTGGAGGGGGAGGATGCATATCCAGACACAAAGCATGACTTTCACTGTTATGTCTGAGGACGCATCTACCTTGGATTATAAACCTTCTATACTTAATCGGTCGAAAAGTTGGGACTGGAGTGAAAAGATATGGGATATACTGAACGTGAAATGATGTGGAACAGATTACCGACATGGCAGGTGTTTTTGTGGTGGCATCATTTCTTTCTTTTGTGGACTACAATAGACGGACAGACTCGCTACAGCATACCAGAAGAACTGAAACAGGGCTCTGTGGTAGGAAATATAGCCAAAGATTTGGGTTTGGTTGTGTCTGAACTGCATTGGCGTAAATTGCGGTTAACCTCGGAAGCTGGTAAGCAGTATTTTAGTGTGGACTTGGGGAAGGGAGAACTGGTGGTCACCGATAGAATAGATAGGGAGGAAATGTGTGGGCAAAAACCATCGTGTTTGTTGCCTCTGGAACTAGTTATTGATAACCCTCTACAGCTGCACAGAGTCGAAATTGAAATACAGGACACCAATGATAATTCTCCTAGTTTTCTTACAAAAGAAAAGGTGGTAAAAATTGCAGAGCTGGTAAATCCAGGTGCGCGATTTCCTTTAGAAAGTGCGCAGGATCCCGATGTCGGCGTTAATTCTGTGCGTTCTTACATGCTAAGCAAAAACGACAATTTCAAACTGACTGTTAAAAATCACAAGGACGGAAGGAAGATCCCTGAATTAGTGCTTGAAAAACCTCTTGATCGAGAAAAGATGCCTGTACATAATCTCATCCTCACCGCTGTAGATGGTGGAGATCCGGTGCGTTCAGGGACATCTGAAATTACAGTTATAGTACTTGACATCAATGACAATGCGCCCCAGTTTGAAAAACAAGTGTATGAGACTAATGTTAGTGAGAAAGCAACACCCGGGACTGAAATACTGCACGTTAAGGCCACGGATGCAGACGAAGGAGTAAATGGAGAAATCGAATATTTTTTTGCAGAACAAACATCGGATTTGATTTTGTCGTTATTTGCCATTGAATCTTCTACTGGAACTATAGTTGTTAGAGGAAATTTAGACCATGAAACAAACTCTTTACATAGATTTGATATTACTGCCAAAGACAAAGGAAATCCTCAGATGGATGGGCACTGTGGGATCGAAATTAAAATACTTGACATTAACGACAATAATCCTGAAATCATTGTTACATCTTTAACATCGCCTGTTCCAGAAGACTCTGCAGTCGGGACAGTTATTGCATTAATAAGTGCAAAAGACCCAGATTCTGGTGACAATGGCAAAGTTTTACTGACCTTATCCCCCAAATCTCCCTTTAAGCTAAACCCTTCCGTTTCTAACCATTATTCATTAGTGACAAATGGGCGACTTGACCGTGAAAAAAACGCCCAATATAGAGTTAAAATAAGTGCTTCTGACTCAGGAAACCCCGCATTAACAAGTGAAAAAATAATACTCGTTGAATTGTCAGATGTAAATGACAACCCACCAATTTTCTCCAAGCCCTCTTATCTCATTTATGTAAAAGAAAACCATCCTCCTGGGAAAATCTTGTGCTCTGTGTCCGCAACTGATCCTGATGCCGGTGAAAACGCAAAGGTCTCTTACTCTATACTGGACTCTAAAGTGCAGGACGTTTCTGTCTCATCGTATGTTTACATTAACTCAGATAACGGCAGCATCTACAGCATGCACTCGTTTGACTATGAGAAACTGAAGGTGTTTCAGATTCAGGTCCAGGCAAAGGATCAG